CATCAACAAACCTTGTAAATCCTCTTTCGACTTGTTCAGGTTCTCACGGTCACCCTCTGATTCTTTGTCCTTCTCCTCTTGTTTGATGTCATCCACATCTCCAAAGAGCTCCAACATCTCGTCCACATTGCGCTCTTCCTCCTCGACGCCCTCTTTGTACTCCTCGTCATTTTCCTCATCAAACAGCCCGTCCAGATCGTCCGCGTGCTCCTGGCTTTCTTGTTCTTCACCAATACCCTCGCTCTCAGCCAGCAGCGCGGTCAGAATATCCAGATCATCCTCACCTGAGTGAAATACACATGCACTCATTTGTGTCTTAACCCACTGATAAAGCAGTATTCTCGTGAGCTTTAAATCAGACACTTACTCTCCATTTTAAGGAATTACACTGTGTCGTTGATGTCAAATCACCCGGTCACCTACAGAAAGGCAAATATATGGAATTACTTTGGCAGAACCTCAAGAAAGAACCGCAGAAAACAAAAACAAGAAAAACCCAGATGTGGGCTGTAATTTCCACAAAGAAAAAAACATTCAAGAAAACACATTCTTTAAATGTTTGACTGAATTGTGAAACTGTTCAGATCATACAGCAGTTAGATGCTGTCTTCGACCCTCTTTCTTAAGGTTACAAACTTCTAAAGTTAACCGAATGCTGCATCTTTCATAATGCTTGTGTTATGTATACAGTAATATAGAATTTAGACTTAACAAGAGGCTTTGTGAGCTTATCCCAATATATTATCTCTCTCAAAAGCTTGGAAACAGCTTCTCATTTAATGGTTTTTCTTTATTTTTACTACTTTCTACATTGTAGATATAAACTGAAGACATCAAATATATGAAGCCAGATATATGGAATTATGTAGCAAAGAAAAAAAAAAGATAAATAACTCCAAATATGTCTATGAGTAGACATAGATTGCTGAAAGTAGCCACTCTTTGCTTTGTTGACAGTGCTCCAAGCCTTTAACCTTCTCTCAATGAGATTCATTGCTGTAGTCACCTGAAATGGTTTTTACTTCACAGCTGGACCTTGTCAGGGTGCATTCGTGGAATTTCTTGCATTCTTAATGGGGTTGGGACCATCAGCTGTGTTGTGCAATAGTCAGGTTGGTACAAAGCTGACAGCCCTATTTGACAACTGTTAGAATTCATATAATGACCTAGAACCAGTCAGATAAGTAAAGAGAAAAATAATCCATTATTACATTAAGAACTGAAGGTCAGTCAGTCCGGAAAATTGCTACAACTTTGAACGTGTCAGTTCAAAGACGTGCAGTTGGAATGAAACTGGCATACATGAGGACCCCGCCAGGAAAGGAAGACCAAATGTTGGCTCTGCTGCTGAGGATAAATTCATCCGAGTCACCAGCCCGAGAAACTTTAAGTTAACAGCACCTCAGAATAGAGCCAAGATAAATGCCACACAGGGTTCCAGTAGCAGACACATCTCTACATCAACTGTTCAGAGGAGACTGCACAAATCAGGCCTTTATGGTCAAATAGCTGCTAAGAAACCACAACTAAGGAAAAGCAACAAGCAGAAGAGATTTGTTTAGACCGATGGAAATCTGTGCTTCGGTCTGATGAGTTCAAATTTGAGAACTTTCCGTTCCACCTGCCGTGTCTTTGTGTGACACAGAAAAGGTAAATGGTCTCTACATGCATGGTTCCCACCATGAAGCATGAAGGAGGAGTGTGATGGTGTGGGAACAGTTTGCTGGTGACACTGCTGGGGATTTATTCAAAACTGAAGGCACACTGAAAAAGCATGGCTACCACAGCATCCTGCAGTGACATGCCATCCCATCCAGCTTGGGTTTAGTTGGACCATCATTTATTTTTCAACAGCACAATGACCCCAAACACACCTCCAGGCTGTATAAGGGTTGTTTGACCAAGAAGGAGAGTGATGGAGTTCTGTATCAGATGGCCTGGCCTCCACAGTCACCTGACCTAAACCCAGTCGATGTGGTTTGGGATGAGATGGACCACAAAGTGAAGGCAAAAGGGCCAACAAGTGCTAAGCATCTCTGGGAAGTCCTTCAAGAGTTTTCCATTTCAGGTGATCACCTGAAATCGAAAACCATTTCAAAAATGAAGCTCATCGAGAGAATGCCAAGAGTGTGCAAATCAGTAATCAAAGCAAAGGGCAGGTATTTTGAAGAATCTAAAATATAAAACATGTTTTGAGTTATTTCACACCATCCATCCATTCGCTTCCGCTTATCCTTTTCAAGATCGCAGGGGGCGCTGGGGCCTATTCCAGCTATCATAGGGTGAGAGGCGGTATACAACCTGGACAGGTCAGTCTGTCACAATTATTTCACACATTTTTGTTTACTACATAATTCCATGTGTTCATTCATAGTTTTGATGCCTTCAGCAAGAATCTACAATGTAAATAGTCACGAAAATAAAGAAAAAAAAACATTAAATGAGAAGGTGTGTCCAAACCTTTGACTGCTAGTGTAGATGCATAGTTTGTCCAGCTCTTGGCAAGATAATTTTACATCCAACACAATTTCCTGCACTGATGAGATATCACCCTGTTACCTCCTTGCTGGGGACACATTAGCATAAAAAAAGAATTCCAGATTTTCCAGCAGAGGTTGGAGCAATCTCTTCACGATGCCAGTAATAATTGAAACTACAGTGATATGAAAAACAGTTTTCACAGGACTCTATGCAGTGCTGTGCAAAAACTAAGCACAAAGCACAATTTAATAGCGTGTAGAACCACTTTTAGCAGCAGTAACTTAACAGTAACTAACCCTCTACATACATTAAATCAATTAATTGTGTATTACACTTTACTGCACAGTATAGAACAGTGCAACACTGTAATATGAGCTACTGAGCACAATTAAAATCCTGTCTGTAGCTCACCCAGTTGTTTTAAAGACGCTAACAGCTTTAACACTCATTCTATGTGAAGACGAAAAGATGTCCAAAGTATTTAAATCTAGGTTCAGCCTGAAGTGGAGATAAGTTAAGGCTTACAATGTAAAATGAAACGACTAAGTGTTTAAGTGGTTTTACCCGGTAAAAAGCAACTAAGAGCATAAATGTTTGAAGATATGGACAGCCGCTTTCCCAAGTGAATATAAAACTATAATTCTGCATATGTATATATACACAAACAAACAGCTTCCATTCATTTGTGACCAAGTCAAAGATAATGAGACAAACAGTTTACCTTTTTGCAACTTTGCGTCTTCCTTCACTGAAGCAGCCCGAAAACCACCTTACCGGATGTTATGACCACATTCAACCTCTCGAAAATAATGCCTACTGTCCAATAAGTAAAGCCTTTCGTGACGATGTACAAGTCATGCGGTTATATTTAATAAAAACTACACAATAAACCTCATTGTAATTCACAACACACAGGCCGGGCGAGGGAGAAAATCCAAACTGGCGCTAAACGAAGGACCCCGTTGTGTTGTCGGAGTGCTGGTAGGTGCCCAAAATCTTGCCTGATTTAAAAAAAGAAAAAAAGAAAAAGAGATAAATGGGTGGTTGCTCGGATAGCAATTTCTTTGATTAGATATTAATATGAGCTAGAAGTAAAAAAAACAAAAACAACATAAGCTACTACTGAAGTAGATTTTGTTGTATTATTTATACAGGGAAACCCCAGTCGCCTAAAATGTCATTTTACGGGACTTTAAAACATATGAAAGTCATGTCAATATTGAAACATTTTTAATACTTACAGTCGACTGTGATTAAGATGTGAAAAGCCCTAAAGGGTATCTTTAAGCAGGAAGGTAATGTAATATGCGAAGTGCTTGTATAACAGCATTAGCTCATTTCATCGTATTTAACTAAAATGTTTCATTTTTATAATATATGAAGAGTGACATCAGGCATGAGTAAAAGCAAACACATTTGCAAACGCTTTTATTTTCTTTCACCGAACTTGAATCAGGAAGGTCTTTACAGTCTAGTACAGTACAGTACAGATTCTACCTGCACTTTAGTGACAAATTGATCATCAGGTTAAATACATTATATTCTGATTATCAGGTACAATATGCAAAGTCAAAATAAAATATATATCTTTCATAAAGTGCCTACATGGTGAATGCTGCTTTTACCACCAAACACCAAATTATAAACTAAAATATCCTTAGTGAGGAAAAATATAGAAGCAATTTCATTTTAATTTGAAAAAGAATCCTTCAAAAATATAGAAAGCCTTCAGCAACCAAATACTTGTAAACAGATGCAGCTTTTAAAGGCTCAACTTTGGTTGATTTATTAATATATTTATGACCAGTGATCAGTGCTTAACTAAAATCTTACCAAAAGGTCTATGCAGCTTCTGTTTTGTTTGCTCTGAACTTGTTTTGCCCCTGAAAATTTCCAGCTTGCTTCAGACAACACAGCTACAAAAAAAACAAAAACAAAACAAAACCCAACAATGTGACGGACATGCATGCATGTTCTGAGTGTTTGTGAGCAACTTTTAAATGTACAACAAAATACAGTCAACATACTCTTTTTACATGCCCTTCCAAACATCACAGTTTGGCTTCTTCCAAAAGCAAAGTGTTCCCACCCGAGAATCAATTTTATTAATCCCATATGGGATCTCTTGGAGTGAAGAGGTACAGGACAAAGCAGAGGAAGACTCCGATTAGGTGATGATGCAGCCGCTGTTGCCGAGAATGCTTATATGCTGTGACGCACGTCTAGTTGATGCAGTCCATAATGTGGATCTGCAGGGAGTCCAGGTCTGGAAGGATCTCATTACACTTGGGACACGCGTGCTCAGGGATATTCCCCTGATGCTGCCAGTCAGTACCTGAAAGTGAGAGACACTGATCACAACTCTAGCCTGCTGGATGGCTGTTCCAGTTCCACTTGTATTTTCTGACAGACTGATTACACCACAAAGGTCATTCAGTCGAATGTTTTGGCTATACTGAATGATTTTTGCTGCATCTAACTATCATTTTGCAAAAGGTCAGGTAACGTTCCTTAATCGCAAAGTCATTACTTGTGCAGAGAAAAATCTTGTGCAGTTCCTGTCAGCAGTAAAAGTACCCAAAAAAAAGAAACAAGAGCTGAGGCAAAAACGATGGAAATAAAAATTAATGAAAAGTTGGTGTATTCCCTGTAACATCCAGTAAAGGGCAGCTATGGTTAAAAAAACAGGTCTGATTGTATATTTTCTTAATGACTTTATTGTCTCGTTTGGTAGATTCAAGTCTTAGTTGCACCTAATTATGTAATGCTCATTATATAACTTATAAGAAGATTAAGCAGGGAATGTATTAGGGTCTGGCTACTCTGGGATTCCCTTGTCTGGCGAACAGTTGTAATGAAAGACACCCAAAGAATTTGACTTTTGTTTTGCTTTTTTCCTTCATTTTTGCCAAGTAGCCTACATTTTATATTAAACTGCTTTTTCACTAGCCAAAAACACCATTCAAATAACATCACACAACATCACCGTAAAAACCAAGCTAGCTAATCACCTCATATTTCTATCCAAATATAGTGGCATGTGTTTCAAAAGACCATCTATCTCTTTTTGGTATAAAAGAGATAGATGGTAAATTAGAGTAATTGTATTTCTAGCCAGTAATAACATCCAAATAATCAAAATGTCAGGGGGGGTTCGGTATAAGCTATATAAGAGGAAGCCAGGAATAAGGTTTGTGTGAGAGGTTAAATTATAACATGCTGTACCTCTTCCAACTAAAGATGGTCCACCTCCATGTGGGTTTCCACCTTGTGACAAATGTCTCCTCTGCATCTCGTTCAGTGAGCGCCTGCACACAAAGAAAAAGCTTCAGATGAGCCGAATCAGGACATTATACTCAGTTTGTTTCTGTGGTCATGTCATGCAAATAGAAATGGGTTTGGCAGAATTATACAGCAAAACCTTTGTTAATTTGTAAGTTAGTCGAGCTGCAGACTCTACTTTTAAATTTCGATCCTTTATTAAATCACGAGGAGTTTTTCTCCACAAGAAGAATAGAAATTAACACATTTAGTCTGAAGAAGCTCAAATCGTGACCAGGTCAGTCCTCTCTCTGAATGCACACCTGCCCATTGAGTCCATCTCGTCTTGCAGCTGGGTGTTCTGCTTCTTCACGTACTCCAGCTGAGCAGCCAGACGCTCCTTTTCTTCGTGGAGTTTCTCCCTCGCTGCTCTTTCTGCGTGGAAGTCGGAGGAGTAGATCTCTGCCTGCAGAAAGTACAGAAAAAACAAAAACATGATGACTACCATTAAAAGTGGAGGCAATCCTGTTGTGCTGAGGCCTTCTGATTGTTGGGTTTAATGCTAGATTATATATTTCAAGTGCTCACACGTAAAGAACCACTGACCTGAGCCTGGAAAACAGATATGGTCTCCAGCTCCTTCTCCTTTTGGAACATGTCCTGCTTCATCTCATCGATCTTTTTCTGCTTAATAGCGAGAGCTTCTTCAGCTGCTGTCAGCCGCTGCTGCAGCTCCTCCGCCAGGTGAGACTGCAGAACCAAACAGGATGGTAAAGGTGCCAGTTATCTCTGATTTTTTTTTTTTTTAAATTCCCTTCATTTTTTTTTTTTTTACTGCATCACGTTTGTGAAAATCAGTACGATCCACACAACACAACATAAAGTTACCTCTTTTCTCTGTTTCTCGTCTTTGAGCTCAGTGTAGTCCTCAAACAGTTTGGTGTAGGCGTCCTTCAGCTGCGCCAGGTTGTTCCTGTGTTTAGTAAATTGTGTTTAGTGTGACGTGACCCGATCGCTTTACAAAGCTCTATGTAGTCAAAGTACAGTAACACAACCCGATAAAAATCAGTGTCACAATATGCCGTTCCTGCACTCTCACACAATCAGTTAATGTGTATGTTTGCTTGTGTTTTCTCTGACTTCTCTTCTGCAGTCTTCCTCTGCTCCATCAGGCTCTGGGCCTGCATGCTGTTTAGCTGGAGCTTCAGTCGGTCATTCTCCGTTTGAACGGCCTGTTTCTCCACCAATTGGGCCTTCAGGGTTGCCACATCCTGCTCCACCTCCCGACATCTTCAACCCCCCCCAAAAGAAAAAATAAGACAGAAATCAAATAACACAGAACATCAGTTAAACGAGGTATAGCTTTTAGCTTAGGTGGTGTTATCTTTCTGCACTTTTCTGTTTTTAAGCTTAAAATAATCATTTGCAAGTGTGTTTGTGTGGCCCAAACCTGTCCTGCAGGTTCTTCTTCATGCCTTCTGCTTCATCCAGTTTGCTCTGAGCCTGCTGCAGCTCTTTGTAGAGTGTCATCATCTGAGCCTTCAGATTCTCCACCTCAGAGGCCGCCTGAAATATTTGCAACAGTCGCACACAAAAAGTCACAAACTCGACGCAGGAAGGGAAAATATTTAACCAATAATGCAGCTTTCAGCGCGACAGATCTACTGTGATATATAAAAAAATGAAAAAAGAAACAAACCTTATCTTTCTTCGCAGAATCCTCTTTGGTCTCTGGCTCAGGTGTCTGGGTGAATTCCTCTGCACTGGACTTTTTTTTTTCTAGCTTTTGAATTCTGTTGGATAATAGGTGAAACTAAATAATAAACGTATTATCCAAACCATATTATGGAAACAGAACTGTGACTGTTTTTTTTTTAATAGAGCAAAGACGTAAGCAGACTGCTACAAATCTGTTGCTTCATTTTCAGAATAAAAACATTTTAAGCACTTTCACAGCTGAGAAACGTTTCCTTTTGTTGCCGTCTCGTACCTGGCCGTGCAGGCCTGCAGCTCGCCTTGCAGCCTCTCGCTTTTCTCCGCCTCATTCCTCAGGGACTGCAGCAGCTGGCTAACCGTCACCTCCTCATTGTCCATGCGTGACGCTGTCATGCTCGAATCCTGGCGTCTGCTGCGCTCTGCCCCCAATGCCTCGTTCACGCCATCGATACCTCCATCCTGGGAGGAAAAACAATACTAAGACACCAAGCTTCTCCTCCTGTTTGTCATTTCACCAAAATCAGGCTGAATATAAAAAAAAAAGGAGTGTTTGATGATGATCTGTGCTATTCATCCGTCCTCACCGACACTTTGATGATCTCAATGAACGAATCATCCTGAGAATCGTGCTCTGCCTTGAGCTGTAGCTCAGAGTTCAAGGCCACCAGGTCATTCTTCTCTGCCTGCAGCCGAGCAACCTGAGCACGCAGGGCCTCCAGCTCTGCATTCTGATTGGACGATGACATTACATAGCATAAATGCAGAAATGACTAAAGTGTCTGTAAATCTGCAGTGCAATATATGTGCAATATTATCAGCTTCACCTGCATTCCTCCCACAGCTCCTCCGGTCTTCCCGGTGTCCTCCAGCCTCCCGCTCAGCTCCTGGTTTTGGAGGGTAAGTGCTTCCATGCGGCCACGGGCCTCCTCGAGCCGGCTCTCCAGG